TAACACTGAACCTAGATTGTTTGATAAAAGCAAGCAATATTCCTAATTTTGAGTATTGCTTGTGATTTTTAGGCCAAGGCAGAGGGTGATAATAAGCTCCTTGGATAATAGGGGTATTATGATAGTGAGGTCTGATAAATCCCCAAACTGGAAAGAATAGAGAAGTGGTGCTGAAGACAATGCCACCCTCATTTTTTTTTCTAAAATCCAAAAGTCGGTAACAGGACTGTCAGAAAACAATATTTTAATGCTTAAGCAGCCAAGTAAGAGAGCAGAGGGTGATAATAAGCTCCTTTGATGATACGGGTATTATGATAGTGAGGTCTGATAAACCCCCAAACTGGAAAGAATGGAGAAGTGGTGCTGAAGACAATGCCACCCTCATTTTTTCTAAAATCCAAAAGTCGGTAACAAGACTGTCAGAAAACAATATTTCAATGCTTAAGCAGCCAAGTAAGACAGCATATATGTAAAACAAAAACCAAAAGAGCAAAAAAGAAACAGTCATCATAGACAGAAAGCCGTGCATCATAAACCTTAACCAGTCTGGGGTCTCAAAAGAGCTTTTGATGAGGCCCTGGTTCAGTGTTCAGTTCAAGAATGAGGTGAGGTTTTGTTATTGGCCTATAATCGAACCCTCAGTGCAAATGTTCATACAAATTTCATAATTCCTACTGAAATAGTTACCTTCCTAAAAGGTGGTTACATTAATGTAGAAGAAGATACAACTTACTTAGACACCAAAAACCTCTATATTTTTAAGGCCAAGAAGAAGGCTGCATTAAACTTCCTATGAGAAATACACATCATAGAGCTATCATATTTAGTATGCAACAAAGCATAATTTAATTCTGCTAAATGATATGCAGATTTTCAGATTATGAAACCCTATCATATATTGATCAATATTTCAGTATTGATGTATCCATGATAAATTGGCATTAGGATTTTTCCACTGGGCATTATAAAACACTCCATCACAACTACCACACCCCCCAGACCTTTTGATTGAGTGGAGTAGCTCTGTATCACCCTGTCCAAGGGACAAGAAAAAATAGCTGTGCGAGCAGGTGGCAGCTCTTTGTTTTACCACTGCAACTATAAGGACTGGACTATGGTGTCCTTTTATCAAGCAGTGGTAAATGACCGCTGCTCAGTTCTCCGGCATTCTCCTGTGAATGCCTTTTATGAAGTGGTGTAGATCAGTTTTCCGAATGAAGGGAGAACGATCTACAAACGCTGGAAAACGGCTGCTTTTACTATAATCTCGCGAGATTACAGTAAGAGATCAGTCAAACACCATTTACTAAGCAGAGGTAAATTGCTGCTTTGTTTGTGGTTCCCCCGATTCTCCAGCTCTGGACTGGAGAATCTGGAGGGAGAACACAGATCGCCAGTGAAGGGCTGACATGTTCTCCGTTGATCATCTCTGTTTCCTAAACCACAAATGATCGGAGATCAGCAACGATCCTCAGGATTGCCGCTGATGTCTGTTTCAGAAAAGGACACCTTAATTTTGAAATACTCCAAACTCTGCATTGCACTGAAGACCATGTGGACTTATTTTTATTTTTTTATTTCCATACAAACTTTATTGAGTTATGAAAGAATACCGAAAGCCACTATGTTATTCACAGTGGGAGTAACATAAACAATAATACATGTAGGAGTACAAATCTGCAGAGATTTATATATGACAAGGACTACTGTCCAACTGAACATGTAAGGCGGGTGTAGATAATATCAGCTATATGAGAAATGTCCCTCAAAACTAAAACATAACTGTAGAGGTATATAAACCGCATGCAAAGAGTCGGACCCCTGAAGTTCTATGGAAGGTCATCCAAACTTATGGGGAGAGGCCTAAAACTTAAGCTTATTATTAAGAAGGAGGATGTATTTAGGGACATACAATCCAGTTGGTGAACCTGCCAAAATAAATAAACAACATTAACAAGTAAACATGAAATAAAAGAAGAGAAGTAGCAGGTATAGAGGCAAAGGGTGGGTATACAGAAGAGAAGAAGGATAGAGAGAATGGGAAGAGGAGATGGAAGAGAGAGAGAAAAAAAAAGGAGGTGGGGTAGGGAGACAGAGAAGTGGGATGTGAGAGGGACCCAGGACATGGATCCCTTCCTACTTACCCTTTTGCAACTGCCATCAATAGAAAGTGGATTAGCTGTGAGTGTCAAAGGACCATTTTATTTTTGCTGTTTAAAACTGATTTTGTGATGCCCTTTCTGTACATACAGTATTTCTTGACTGTTTCTCTTTTCTTTTCTTTTCTTTTCTTTTTCTTTTCATTAAATTATATTTTAAAAAAATAAGCTGAATCTCAGAATTCTATAACTATAAATTACAGAACTTTGCGTCTCTAAAGAAGCAACCGCAGTGTAAATGCTGTTGCTTTCCTGTCTAAATGTGGCAGCAAGTGACAGACGTTTTTTAAAGGTCAGACTCACAACAGCAAATGCTGTGAACGGTGCGTGTTTCTGTTAAAACATAGGGTGGTGGCTACCATGTGTGTTTGTGTGTGTAAAATGTTTTCATCTGCTGTTGACTGAGTGATAGTCACTCTCTCTCTTGGTGCTTAGATTGTTTTCTTGCAGGCTAGAAAATCTCTGAAGGATAAAGCTGAGAGTGTGTTAAGTTCTGTTTATCATCACACATTAACATTTCTTGTTTTTTTTTAAGATCTCCCTATTCGCAGCTGTTGAAGGTAACTAAATACCATGCATGTACCACTGTCAGGGTGGAACAATCCCCCAGCTCTTTGCTAGTTTTACTGGGATAGGCAGAGTTTTTACTGTCATTCATTTTGAGGCAGCTATCTGCCCCTGATCTGCTTATGGCTGACCATACACTATTTAAAGTGTTTCTAAACCCAGAAACTGCACAACTGCATTCACTATATCTGGTCTCCTACAGTGCACAGAACATGGAAATTCAATTATTTTAGTAACTATAAACTGCTAAACATCTCTTCTCATCAGCAGTTGGAGCACTCTTGTGGCTTCTATCAGTCAGGGGCGGACTGACCATTTGGAAACTCGGGCACTGCCCGAGGGCCCGGGGTCAGTAGGGGGCCCCATGAAATGCCCCTGGTACCTTTTTCATAGGCTTTTTTGAGTTTGGGCAAGGACACAGGGGCCCCATGATCCCCTATTGCCCGGGGGCCCCATGAATTGTCAGTCCACCCCTGCTATCAGTGTTCAGCCAAGCACTAGCTAAAGTTTGTAGAAGGAGTTTTCTTTGTGCCCTAGGAGGATACTAATCCCCTGACCCTCTGCCTATACAGTGCTGATTAGCCCTGTGCTGATCACATGCACTCTCCCAAGAAAATAAAACCTCTCTGGCAATGCACACTAAACTGAACATGTGCAGAATGTCTACGGGTTCAGTCTGTCTTATCAGGAGATAAGTTGTGGACATTTGAAGAAGAGGAGCACAGAAGACAGAGTCAAATGGTCTTTTTACACAAAGCAGAGGATTAACCCCTTAGGTTCTACAGTCTGCATATACAGACTGATTTTACTGTTGTGGATTTAGTAACAGTTTACCCTGATCTCTGTACAATCCCCTTTAGCTCTACCCAATCTATGTAATATGAAGTCAAACCTAAACAATCCATTCAATACGTATCATACGAGGCAGGTGATGCACCACATAGTGGTAAATCGGAAGGAGATTGCACAACCAGATTGTATAGTGTATGGTGAGCCTTAGCGAAGAAACTGGTAATGTTACTGATGACCATTATTATCAAAATGTCATTTAGAGATAGACTGTGCAGTGCAGTGATACATTAGCACAACCTAGTGGCAGATGTGAATTAGTATTTATCTACATTTTACTACATTTTTATTTAGTTAAAATACTAAACACTGCATTTGATGTATGTAAAACAATGCATAAACTACTGATAACGTGGATTTCCAGTCTGATTATTTGTGGTTTTTTTGTCAATGATGAATATCTGTGCAATATCCTTTCTGTTGGTTGATCAGTTGCTATTTTTGCTAATTAGTTCATAGACATATGATTCACATTTTCTAATATACTAGAATGTTTCAGAATCTGATTATACATTCTTTCCTTGTCATTGTTTGTTTTAATATTGAACTACACAATAAAACTCTTCCTGCCCTCTGTTAGACTCATTTTAAGTATGTGCAAAACCTACTAATGAACTTCTATTATATCCTGCCTTTTGGTCCTTTTAATAATCCATTGAAAGGGTTTTGGTTATCTGTTTGATAAGTGCAAAATAAATAGCTGTTGATCATCCAGAAACATAATTTGCTACTAATTACATGCACTGAAACCCTAAGCAGTGTTACCAACCCTGCCCATTTGATCGCTGCAAGTTCTAATCAAAAGCGAATGACCTACCAATGTGTCACTGGCTGAAATCGTAGGTTAAAATAAAGAAAAAAGATTGAAAAAAATGAATGCAAGAGATGGTAAGCTGCAATATGTTCCATTTTTTGGGGGGGGGGGGGTTTAGATGCACTTTAACCACTAGCCTACAGGGCACTTATACCCCCTTCCTGCCCAGTGCTGTCACACTTTGAATGACAATTGCGCGATCATGCAACACTCTACCCATATGAAATTGTTATCATTTTTTTGTGACAGAGTTTTATTTTGGTAGTATTTAATCACCTCTGGGTTTTTTATTTTTTCTTAAACAAACTAAAAACCACTGAAAATTTTGAAAAAAAAGTTTTTTTCTTAGTTTTTGTTATAAAATTTTGTAAATAAGTGATTTTCTCCTTCACTGATGTGTTCTCATGAGGCTGCAGTGATCGGTACTGATAGGCTGCACTGATGGGCACTGATGAGGAGGCTCTGGTAGGTGGCACTGATGGGTATTGACAGGCATCACTGATGGGCACTGAAAGGCAGCACTCGTATATGGAACTGATAGGCTGCACTGACTGGCACTGTTAGGCGGCACTGATGCACACTGATAGGTGGCACTGATTGGCAGCACTGATATGTGGGACTGACTGGCATTGATAGGTTGCACTGACTGGCACTGATGGGTGACACTGAAAGGCAGCTCAGGTGGGCACTGATATGTGGCATTGATGTGCACTGGTAGGCACTGAAATGTGGCATTGATGTGCCACTGATGGGCACTGGCAGGTGGCATGGATGAGCACTGACAGCTGGCACTGATGGACACTGACAGGTGGCACTGCTGGGGCTACACTGATCATCAGTGCCCTGATGATCAGTGTACATGTCCCCTCTGAGGAATGCCGATTACCGGCTCTCCTCTCTTCTTGAGCTGTCAGCGTGACAGTGATAATTGGAATTTCCCAATTTACATGCGATCAGCTGTGATTGGACACAGCTGATCACATGACCAAGCCACCATATTCGGCTCTTTCTGTTGATCGGTGATCCGCTGTGTCCTAGGGACACAGCGCATCGCCGATCGCCACGCTGCGCGCTCCTGGAGCCGCACATACATGGTTAGAATGTCATATGACGTCCTCCCAGAATGATAGAACCACCTTGCGTACATCATTGTACTATATGGTGGGAAGGAGGTGGTTAAATTATACTTCATTTACTATTTGCTTAAACATATTTTTACTGAGAAATTTTGAGAACTTTATGTGATAAATATGTGTATTTAGTATATAATATCATTTTATTCCAATTTCCTTCTATATATATTTTTAATTTTAAAGAAGATATAAATCACAGGAATTAAAGGTGACCAAAGTATGTCTTAACAGCTGTCACTTAAAGTATATCTATAGATTTTTTATTTTGTTTTAATTTTGGATAGCATAGGTAAGGATTAAGAACTCTTGTCAGGTTTTACTGCCATCAAAAGCTCCTTTACCTCCTGCCTGGGGCAAAAGTCGCCCCCAGGACAGAAAGTGAGGAGATCTCTCTGACAGCAACACACACAGAAGTATATATATATATTTTTTTACAGTTAAGTAGGGGAATATTTGAACCTCTGTTTTTTATTTTTTATTTTTTCCTGTTTCTCTGTTGCAGTTTCATTCTCTCCCTGTCTGGTAAAACCATGTCCCCCGAACAGAAAGTTAGGGGAAATATCTCAAATGGATTCACAGATAGCAGTAAAACCTGCCATGGATTGTAACCCTTCTCCGTTCTATCCAAAGGCAAAAGATATGTTTTAGATATAAATACGCTTTAATGAATGGATATAAATACACTTCAATGGTCTACAAGTAATGAAGGAAGAAATATAGATAAAGGAATTAAAAACTTAAATAACTGAAGTAGTATACAATAATATACCGGTTAATCATATATATATATATATATATATATATATATATATATATATACACAAACATTTCTAGTACTCATTCATTAGAAATTTAGATTGCCATATTTAAACCTGTATATGTGTTTTACTAGGATGAAATGCAAAATACTGCTTAAATCACCAGAAAGTGTGAGTTGCAAAATACTGTTTAAAGCACCAGAAAGTGTTATAAAACAAAATGCAGCTTTTTATCAGGGACCAAAACTAATATGGACATGTCAATTGGAATGTAATGTTTACTAAAGTGCTTAAAAAAAACAAACTAGTAAAGTATAGTTATATTAAGGGAAAATCAAGGTATCACCAGCAGTTTCTATCAATGTAGTAAAATGATCTTAATTGGTGTTGGTAGGTTCCCTTGATTTGTTCAGTCATTTTTAGGATTAACACTGGATGTGGTTGGTACTTACACAGAATAGCCTAGAGTACAGCCTCACTAGTTTCAGTTGTACCTATTTTTTTTTAACAAGTATTTTTATATTTTGTTGAACTCAAAATGATTTTTGGAGCATTTTGACTTCTTTAAGCATTTAAATTAGAACACATTTTTGGGACTAGTATGAACCAGTGTGTACCAGATATTTCCACTGTCATTCTCTGCAAGGAACAATGAGGGAAGAAGAGACTTTGATGAAGTTGTTAGTGTGATTACAGAACTGAATGGGTTTATTTACTAAAATTGCAGAGTGCAAAATCAGGCTCACTTCTGCATAGAAACCAATCAGCTTCTAACCTCATCATTTATTTGCAATAAAACATGGAAGCTGATTGGTGTCTATGCAGAAGTGAGCCTGATTATGCACTCTCCAACTTTAGTGAATAAACCCCAATGTGATTTCCATTTGTTAGATATACTGCATATCTCCTGTTTTTTCTGTTCATGAACATTTTCTACCTGACCCACTATTGCTTACAGTTGCAAAAATAAGATCATCTACATGCATGTCTTTGAGATACAGACTTTGTAAAAGAAAAAAGAAAAATTAGAAAAAGTTTCATATTCCATCCTTCCATCCCTTGAATGTAGATCACCCAACAAAGATTGCATGCTTGGCTTTCAGACCCTTGGAAGTGTTCCTTAAACAACACAGTTACTTTCCACCTCTATAAATCTTTGCAAGCAGGCATCTTTTGCACTCTTCTTGGTGCAAAACATAATCTACAAATGAACTGATAAAGGGGTCCTTTATATGTGTAAATATCTGTTGTTTTGCATTGGTTCCCTGCTGACTTACTCTTGAATGCACGTCCTGAATAATTCAACAAGAATTCTCATATTATGGTAGCAATGTGGGTTATTTACTAAAACTGGAGCATACAAAATCTGGAGCAGCTCTGCATAGAAACCAACCAGCTTTCAAGTTTTATTATCAAAGCTTAACTGAACAATCTGAAGTTAGAAGCTGAGTGGCTACCATGCACCAATTTTAGTAAAACTTCCTTATAGTGAAGGTCAGAAGGTACCTGCAGCAAAGTCACTTAGAAGAATGCAAATCAATGATTAGCAATTAGCATCTGAATATTACAAAATGACCATGTTCACTAAGAATCTGGGTTCATATGAATAAGCGTGTTCATTAATACCAACCAGCCAGTATGGAAATAACTCCAGAACACAGAGAGAAAAACAGGAGTGGTTTTATTACCCAGCAGTTTTGGATATTTCCTTTGTATTCACTTGTGATGTTTTAGCCCTGGAAAAATTCCTCTCTACTGATTCTAGTGTTGGTAGATATCTATATAATCCTACCCTATCGCATAGAATAAAATATTCAGCAGCAGAGCTTCCTCCTTCCATGCTGTTTAGCTTTGATGAAGGAATCTATTAGATTTATGTAATTTAGCCTGTGGATTGAACAAGAGAAATCTTAGTGTGTAAGGATTGGTTGGACAAAACAACAATATAAGCATCCATGTGCATTTGGTGGGGGTCACCCCATAACATTTCCAAGAGGTGACTTTAAAGCTGGTCATGCTCATGGCAATATGAAAGAGTGATCAAACTTCTGATATATTTTCTGGAGAGAGGAAATTGCCATAGGTTTTTCTATTTCAAGTCAACTTTTTGTAGCTTTTAATTTATTGGCCATTTTTTGGCTTCATGGTTGTCCAACTTCTGCTGCTCTATCAACATGCATAAATGGTAGATTGCTTGGTTTCTGGCAATTACTTGTGGAGGTATTTGCATTTCCCGGGGGTTAGAACTGAGTGAAAATTTCCTTGTGTGTGACCAGCTTAACTTGAATGCAATTAACATCATCTACTGGCAACCTTCTAAATGGATATGTTAATTTAAATATGCAGTTTGTTTCTTATAGAATAAGAAAGTTCTTTAAGAATAAAATAACCAAATTTGTTATATCCTCCAGCTGTAAATATTGACATTGGGTCATTAAGGAATGTTTTTTTTTTAAGAAAACCACACATGAGCTTTACAGTACATTGTGATCATCTGTGCTGAAAATAAGCATAGTTTACTGAAATTAAAAATGAGAGCATGGTGCACAGTGACAGAAGTCTGGCATCTGTACCTAATGGGCTCAGTTAAGTTATACGTATGCTGTGTAACAAGGGTAGGCGTCTGCAATCTGACTTGCCTTCTGCATTTTTTACATTTCTCAGTAAATAGCAAAAGGAAAATGTGATCAGCAATTTAAAATGACTTAATCACATATTGCAAAACATAAAATAAGACTGTAATCTGTTGTCTCAATTAAAGAGATAGAGTACACGTTTACAAAATGGATTTCTTATTCATATGTGCAACATATTAATATCTTTTTAGCGTATAAAATAGATTGGAACTAATATTGCAAATAGCTGTTGATCTTAATTATACATTTAAATAACATGCATGTCTGCTAAACTGATTGGAAGCTTCCAACATATGATAATATAAATCAACATTTGAAAGAAGTAAATATTTACTTGAAGCATATATAGTATATAAAGAATTTACATTTTTCAGTTTTTAATTCAGTAGAAAATTATTAACATATTTCTTTGCTGATCATGTCCCTTTGGAAACATAATAAGTAAAAGGAAACTGTTATTTTTTTAATTTCTCAAAATAACATTTTTAAGGTTTAAATTAAGAGTTTATTTTTGAAGATGCATCTTCATTCGTCCTCATAAACTCTGTGATAAGTCTTCATTCTTCCTCATAAACGCTGTGATAAGTCTTCACTCTTCCCCAAAAACTCTCTCTCTACATTCAGGAAAAGTATGAACAATTTCAGAAAATGTTCTATTGCTTTGTATCATTTGTACCACCTCTAACCTACATTGGTTCTTTCAAATGACAGAAGAAATCATCTTCATGGTGGAGCTGTTTAAATATAAACCATTTCTGTCCCGTGTATACTGGAAACTGTGCTGATAAAATGCAGGAACAATGAAAATAACCCAGTTTTTAATGTTGCTAGACTTCATCTCAAATACTAAAGAAGATGTGTTCAAATAGGTGATGTCACAAATATTTATTTTGTAGCAGAGCTTTTATACGCACCTTGGTTTTATTCTATATCACATTTATTGCTTTTTAAATCTCATTATCCTTCTGTGTATATATACACTCCATACATTATATCCTGGAATCTGGTTAATGACCTTATCTATATCTAACAGTATGTCATCTTAGGATATATGAAATGACATTAAACTAACTTACAATTCTTTTCCCAGTATGAGACAAAGTGAATATTACATTTGTATTAGAATACTTTACTTATTACCTTATCTTCTCATATCTTTCAGCTTTTTCTTTCCTTCCTTGTTAATACCTCCCTCAAATTAAATATACCATGGAGGCTTCTTAGTACTAATATGGATATGTATTTGGATATACAGTTGTGCTTAAAAGTTTGCATACCCTTGGATAATTGGTAATAGTATGTACCATTTTTAAAGAAAAAATGGTTGAGCAGGCAAAATACATTTCTTTTATTTCTTATTGGATTCATATTCAACTGTAGGTCATAATAGAATATCACAATCAAAAAACAAAACATGTTAACAAGTAAACAAATGAAATGACCCCTTTTCAAA